CGATATAAAATTTGATGAGGCAAATACAGATAGTGAAAGAACTGGTATCTTAAAATTAGTAAATGAATTTTAGGGATTGCTTTGCTCTTAATTTAAATGAATTAGGTTGCACGAACGTAATAAAAATGGACATCAAAGAAATTGACGGGAGTAAGCCTGTGCCTTCTCTTCCATACAAAACGAATGCAGCTGAACGTAATGTAATAAAAGAAATTGTTAAGGAATGGAAAAATAATGGGATAGTTTCTGAAACTAGGTCGCCTTACGCTAGTCCAGTGTTACTAGTAAAGAAGAAAACAGGGGAATATAGACTGGTAATTTATTACCGCAAACTTAATAGTCAGACGATAAAGAATAAGTTCCCTTTGCCTCAAATAGAAAATCTTTTATAATGTTTAGGAGGATGTAAAATTTTCACTACTCTGGATTTAGCCCATGGCTATTTGCAAATACCGTTAAATGAAGAAGCTAAATTGAAGACGGCGTTCATTGCTCCAGATGAAACAGGACAGTTCGAAAAGGATGACATTTGGGTTAGTAAATGCTCCTGCTGAGTTTCAGCGCCTAATGTCGTATGTCCTAGGCCCCTTGTTGAATACTAAGGTGTTGTGTTATATGGATGATATACTTATTCCTGCAAAATCTTGGGAAGAGATGATTTTCAAACTAGAGGAGGTATTAAAATGCCTAAGAAAAGCAAATTTAACCTTGAAATTATCTAAATGTGAATTTGGGAAAAGAGAAGTAGATTTCTTGGATTTTATTATAAACGAAGATGGTATTAGACCGGGATCTAGAAAAATATAAGCCATAACAGAATTTCCAGAACCAAAGAATGTGCACGAATTGCGAAGATTTTTGGGCCTGACTGGATTTTTCAGACGATTTGTGCCGAAGTATGCGTTTAAAAGCGAACATTGACCAGATTGACAAAGAAGAATCGAGACTTCGAGTGGAAGCAAAAACAAAAGAAGTCGTTCGAACTATTGAAGAAATAACTGACTGATAAGCCAATATTAGCTCACTATCAACCGCATGCAGATACTGAAGTCCATTGTGATGCAAGTGCAGAAGGTTTGAGTGGAATGCTAATGCAACGTGATGTAGATGGAAAATGGCATTTTGTTTATTGCGTCAGCAAGAAAACAACAGAAGCAGAAAGAAAGTATCATTCCAGCAAATTGGAGTTAATGGCCATCGTATGGACGTTGGACAGGTTAAGGCAGTTAATCGGCATAAGATTTACAATTATTACTGACTGTCAAGCTCTAATATGCGAAGAAGCAATACAAAATTTGCAATACAAAAAAAAGTTAAACGATAATAGTTATCGATATACATTAGATAGTGATGATTGCAGTGAGTTATTAGTACTTAGTAGGGTACCCTTTATTTTTGATTACAGCTTCACAGCGACGTTTCATTGAGCTGACAAGAGTTTTAAGCTCTTCTTTCGTATTACATGATGCCAGGAAACAATTATAGTCTCAATTAGTTCCCGTTTATTTGATGGGTACCTTATTCGGACAAGAGTTTTCAAACGGTGCCACAAATTTCCGATAGGGTTGAGGTCAAGACTGTTTCCTGGCCATGGCAACAATTTAATGTTCTTTGTACGAAACCACTCTTTCGATATTTTGTCCGTGTGACAAGGAGCAGAATTCTGCTGAAAAATAAACGAAGCATTGTTGGGAAAGAGATCTCTGATGGAAGGTAGAAGTTTTGGTTCTAGGATAATCTCAGTGTATTTATGAATATGTCAATGCAACTGACAGAACCACCAGCATCATTCAGATCACTTCTGATGGCCGCTGATGACATTTTTCTATCTTGGAGACATAGTCTTTTTATTCTTCTGTCATCAATAGATGTGGTGCACCTTTTTCGGCTTTTCTTTATTTGTTTTTTATTGAATTTTTCTCCTGATATCGTAAACAAAACTTTCGTACTCCAGATGTAGTCACTGAACCACCCACCTGTCTTGCAAATTCAGCATAGGAAAGATCACTTTCTCGTAACACAATAATATTATATTTCTTTCTAGGTGTCCAATCCGTTCTGTCATTGCTTCTTGACTAAATATTAAAAATTTTTACAAAAATTCCTACTTCTAATTGCAGTGTATAAGAAAAAGTTCCTCCTTCTACAGAACAAAGCAAAATAATGAATTGTTTCAAGTGTACACATGATGTCAGCTTCTACTGGCAGTTACTAACATTTGATTGATTCTCAGAACAAGAACAGTGATTGGCCAGAAAAGCTAGACATTACAAACCACTTCATAACTCTGTTTTTTATTTATATTACAAAATTGCGTAACTGTAGAAGAATATTTATGAAAACAAATCTTCAAAACCATAGGTAGAAATTTCTGTAAAATTAATGTTTTTCGTATATTCCCCATAAAAGAAATTTACGACATTCATTAAGAACTTTAATTAGTTGCCAATAAGACTTACCCTATTTTTACATGTATCCTAGCACATATTTACTTAATAAATATTTTCAATAGGCAACTAACTATTTCATACAGAATGCATTTATTAAAAATGGAGTGTATAACCTTCAAAAGTGGCAATTTCTCTTTTGCAGCCGCTTCCTAAATTTGTTCTCAGAAATCCCGAAATGAATCGGAAACAAATTTGCGGAATATGAAATTTCGTATTCTTTGGTAGCATCAAATATACAAAACTCTTATGACCTAAAGTAACTTATCACTATGTCTTTGAAAATTACGAGACAAACGTATAAAAGGTATAAAAGACACTTTTACTTAACTCAAGTTTAACAGAATGCATTGCTCATGCTTAAAGCATTTACGGCTCAAATCAAAAGTAACGAATTTTAAATTATAACTAAATTAATTTAAGTTAGCCGTAAAGCTACACAGACGGCCAAGTTAGCTCTGACCTAAAGTCGGTGTGACAAGCCTGATGGCGAGAACAACGCAACGCCACAGAATGCTGCTCTCAAGAAAATCAAATTGGCAAACGTGGCCTTCAGCAGATGGAAGAAGCTCTCATTCTACTCTCGAAAAACATTCATTTAAATTTAGTTCCTTTGTACATCATTTGAGTGCAAGTGAACTAGAAATTTGCATTCTTGCACGAAAATGGGAAGCGAGAAAGACGGCAAAGTAATTTAACATAAAATAATTGGTTAGTGAAACTAAACGAGTATTATGATAATGATATTATGATTAATTCAGCTACCTTTATTTTTTGTTTTAAATTTCAGTTTTAGATTTTTTTTTTAAAATTTCAGTTCTAATGTTTTTTTTCTTAAAAGAATGCATTATTTACTTCTCTCTTAAGTAGGCTCTGATAACCTTTATTTGATGTAATTTGGAAAAGACAACAACAACATCAACAAAGTATTTTTAAAATTTATTATTGATTTAATTATAGTTATTACTTCGGTAGGGTTTCATATTTCATGCCAATATTTATTGAAACTTGCATACGCGGGCTACATAAACGACAGAATGTTTTCAACTTTATAACCCCTATAATGCAACCTCTTCCTTCCTTTACTACTCGCAAATAATTCGAATAAGCGAAGCATTTAGTTTTTCTCCCTCAACCATTTCAGGAAATTATAGCAGGTCGTGAATATGCCGCTAGTCTGGAAATGTCTTAACTGTTGAAGAGGTTACCTCCATAAAAAAAGAGACGCGTCTAATAAGTCCTCTACATCCTCTTTAGGGCTGCGATAGCTTTCAGAAACAAAACCGCTGCTCACGGCTCCCATTGAGAACAATAAAAAGCAAGGTCAAGCTCGGAAAAAGAACGACAGCGAGATAAGGAGGATAAAAGGTCTTCATTCGATGGCAGTCACGCTAAATTATGAAATGGCGTTGTTTCCTTTTTGCGGAGAGGCAGTTGGTGGCCTTCTACCACTGTCTTAATCAGCCGCGACTAATGTTCTTTGTGCAACTGTAATAAGCTGCAGCATTTCGGATCTCTTTCACTGTGACTGTCACAAAAACGGAGTTAATTATTTACACGTGAGGACTTGCGTAATGTTTCTGAAACGACTATTTGTTTAAATTCAGGAGAATTTACATAATAAAGCGTTTTATGTCATAGCATGTTTAAGACAAAGGGGTTCTTTTAAGGCCTAAAGGAAATGAATGCAGTTCACGAAAATTGGTTGATATCTTTTAAAAACGACCAGCCTTGGATTTAATGAAGTCACTTCTCTATGCTTTTGTTTATAAATTAAATGCTATCACAGTTTATGAAGTATTATGCTCTGATCAGTGTTAACTATTCCGCTGAGGGCAGAATTTAGTAACTTAAATATTCTGTCGTACGTTACAATCTTCCAGACTAATTAGATTTGATTTAGGTGATTCGGATTATGGCAAAGTTCACTCAGAAAGCGGATAGATGCTTTCGTGGAGGAATTGTATGGAAGACTTGCTCATTTCCACGTTACGCACGAGAAAAATCATGAAATTTCCCATGCAGTTAGCCCATTTATCGAGATTTCAGCCCGGATCGAATTACCAGCATTCAGGAAGCTTAACGCTTGACCACTGGTGGGCCCAAATTGAATAAGAAATGGCATAAATCTGATAAACGTATCTGCTGTAGTCTGGTTTCCGTCCTGTTCAAAACGCATGTCTTCTAAATTTATGCGCAGATGGTAGTGCTTGCATCATGTCTGAAATGCATTCTGAGAGATCATTAAATCGAAAATAACTACCTCTTTATACCGTCTGTCTTTTGTGATTCGGCTTGAAAATTCTGTATGGAATAAGAATGATTATTCGTTTTTGGGTTTCAACCTTAAAAATAAAGAATTACAAAACGACAGATCTGGCGAGTGCTGCCACTGCAGGAGGAGAGTTAACTATTTAGGGCATAGTTTCCGAATCATTTTTCGTGTCAACCCCCTCTTTCTTGAGATTATTTTCTACAAATTCCACTGCTCCCTGTCGTGAATTTTTGACATTTTTATTTGATTACGGTGAGGTACACAATGATATTTTTCAGATGGAGGGATGACCCGTAGAGGATTTTTAAAGAAAACTGGATCGTATCCATGTTGGACATGGAGAAAAATGCCCATCTACTCAATCCAGGATCAGACTAGTCAGCCGTTTGCCGTTCGCCAATATTCGAACCCCAGACGGAGCTACCACTATCGAAAGACTTTACCACTTGGCTGTTGTTGGATGCGTTTTCTGATTTCATCCAATTTCATTTGAGGTTTTACCGACATGCTGGAAGGAAGGCAGATATTTGTGTAAGTTTACATTGACACTGCATATAATATATTTCGTGTATGTATTTATCGCATTTAAAATTTTTAAACTTACAATACAAATTAATTAATGTATACATTAATTAATGTTTACTCATCAAAATGTTTTATTAACAAATAATATTTAAGTACTTTCTTTAGTGATTTCAAAATTACAACAGTGACTGACACGGCCACAACGAAAAGTTTAGTGTTAACCACCAGTGACTGACATGGCGTTTAATGTGTTTTCTTGAGACTGGCTGTGTGCACCACCGCGGTGAAGGACTTAGATCCTATTGTCTCAAAGGTGTCGTCCTTTTGTCACAAACATCACCTCTCAAGTAGTTCTGCTTCATTATTGCTGACAAAGAAAATAGAATGCAATGTCTGTATGATGCGTATAAATGGAAATATTGGCGAAATTTGAGCTTTCCCCTTTTATTAGTATTACTATTGTTTGTATCGTATAATATTATTAAAGCAATTAGGAGTACTGTTATTGGCCTTCCATTTATCGTACTGAGCTGTACTGCGTGCGCACTTTCTGAAGTACTAAGCGCAATGTCAGAAGTACTAAGCGCACTGTCAGAAGTACTAAGCGCACTGTCAGGAGTAGTACGGAGGAGTGTTGCACATGTGCGCACTGCAAAATTAATTTTGTAATATATTGTAACTATATAATTAGTAATGAAATGTTTTGTTTAAATCATTATCGTAATATTTAATGTAATATATTGTATGCAACATTATTGCTGACAGTCAAATTGTGTACATGGTAGTACCTATTAATGGAAAAATAAGTGTAAACTGTGTCTTACCTCTTATTAGCTTTACTATTGTTTGCATCTTAAAGTATAGAGCCTTTTTATTAGCATTATTATTGGTCATAAAATTGTAGTGAGCTGCACTGCGTGTGCACTTTCAGGAGTACTACGTGCACTATCAGGGATACATTGGGCCAGTGTTGCATAATGGGTGCACTGCATAATTAGTATTGTAATGTATAAAAATCGCATAATTGGTAATGTTTCTATTATTCAGTTTCGTAACATACACTGTAAAGTCTATGTGTGTACTGCATAATTAGCATTGTAATGCATAATAATTGGTAATGTTTCTATTATTCAGTTTTGTAACATACACTGTAAAGTCTATGTGTGTACATTGTAATGTATAATAATTGGTAATGTTTCTATTATTCAGTTTCGTAACATACACTGTAAAGTCTATGTGTGTACTGCATAATTAGCATTGTATAATTCGTAAAATATGAATTGTAGAAATCAGCATCGTAATATATAGTGCACTGCTGCAAAATTAGTTTTTAAATGTAGTATAATTGAATCAGTAGTAACGTAACGTATTGTAAAAGTAGCATGTTACAAAAGCCCCTGTATGGCCATGTACTTATATTTTTCTCAGATATCAACAAACACTGGAACCCGGGCAGTTGGACGGCAGCGAACCCCATCTGTGGCTCTGGATAATGGCGGACGTGGTGCTGTATTTATTAACCATTGTCCTCCGTCACTTATCACTTATTTATTCGTTTGACTCACAGAAACGAATTTTCGATACTTTGAAATATGCCATCGTTGCATGTCTGTGTTGATTCCTGTTGTTCAGCAGTGAATCTAATTTATTGCTGCGACTTATATTGACTCTGCAGAATCGCAATTTTGAAATAGTTTATGCATAGACATTTATAGATACACAACAGTTAGGATATCCAAGGTCGCTGAACACTGGTAGTTCGGTCCGAGGTTCGAATCCCGCGAACGGGCTGGCTGCATGGGTGTTTTCGTGGTTTTCCCCATGTGTAACGTGTATACGAGCCAGTTTCCCTTAGAAAGTCCTCCACGAAGGCATCCCTCCCCTTAGGCAGATAGCCCTAGTGGGCTTTGCCATAATTAAATACACACACACACGCTTTCAAACACTTTTCTCCTGATTGGCTAATTTCCAGTCAGTCACGTGATTCTTCCGCGCGGCTTCTGAAACATTATCTGTAATGCTACAAGCAAATCAGCTGTTACCGCTACAGTTTGCGTTCAACCTGTTACCATTGCAGGAAATTCTCGTGTAACTTTTTGATTTCTGTAACTTTACAAAACTTTTGCCTGTAAAGAGCGAACTTTTTTTTTACCGTGATGTTAATGTAACTAAAATAATAACAAATATGAAACTTAGCAGCAGATCCAAATGAAAAAGTTTACTGTGACTTAGTTTGTAATCCACTTATGCCCTACAGCATTATTTTTAATAAATACTGGATGCGGGGCGTACTGTGGAATTGCACAATGTACCATAATAGGCAAACTTTAGACCTTTTGAAAAGCTTCAGTTTATGCAAATTCTTATAAAACTTGCAATTCCCCCCCTTTTTTTTTTCTCAAAGAGTTAGTATGGGAAGGCATTACCAGTTGACCTATGGTACATCACTGGTGTCCCCCATACTTTTACCTTTACCTTTACCTGTGACTTAGTTTTTCTTTTCTCTCTCTCCATTTTTAATATGTGTATGTATTTGTAATTAAAATGTTACGCTTGAAAACATTTTCGCTTTCTTTTAAGATTCTTTGTTTTTTCAGACTATAAAATTCGTCAGCTAGAGATATTTAAGAAGAACTATTTAACTTTTAAATTAGATGCATTAACTGCTTTGTAAGTCCTGTCCTCAAAATAAAGTTGGAATATAAAAGTGTAAACTCCAACGAAGTAATAATTTTAATAAATGAAATGAAAAAATATCAATAAGATGAAACAAAAGAAACCATCGTTGTGGTTCTGCTGGAGTTCAATTACATAAGAAAGAATTTCGTTGAGGTTGAGAGGGAAGCTTGTTTAAATTTATGAACAAATATCTCAAAACTAATCTATGAATCCACAATACAGAACATTTATGGAAACTTTAGGAATTCCTTTTCTAGCAAAAGCAATTTTTTATTGGAAACTTTAGGAATTCCTTTTCTAGCAAAAGCAATTTTTTATTTCTTAAATTTCCAGAAGTTCCGCAGAAATAAATCAATTGTCTTAAATATTTCAGAATTCCTGTGGGTTATTGGAAACTTTAGGAATTCCTTTTCTAGCAAAAGCAATTTTTTATTTCTTAAATTTCCAGAAGTTCCGCAGAAATAAATCAATTGTCTTAAATATTTCAGAATTCCTGTGGGACTTCTTAATTACGTGCCTCACGAAAAGTTATCAAATCATTAGAGACTTTATGAATCAGCAAGAAACATTTATTTATCTGTCTTTAAGGTTCCCAGGTACTTTTCTATTGATAAAGTATAACGAAAAGAAGAAAGAAATACAGTAGACTCTCGATTATCCGCGCCTGCCGCACAAAGTTTTTTTTTTTTTTTTTAATTTTTTTTAGTGTAAAGCAAAAAAAAAAAAAAAGTAAATAAATAAATAAAAATGTTCACAAAACTGAGCGATACGTTAAATTTGCTAACATCGTGCTTATTTATGGCAAAAATATCCCAGGCCTTCTCGGAACATTCCTCTCCCTTACGAGTAAGTTATTTCTTACTCACCCTTGCAGTGCCCGCTCCACCGCCCTCTCTCGTCTTAATCTTACTGACACGTCCACTTCTTCCCACTCGCCATTGTTAGTTTAAGCCTGATAGTGTTTGCGAACCGGTCGGAGTTAATTTCTTATCTTTTATTGTATTCATTGCTTGTGCTTTTTGGTTTTGCGTTTTTCGTTATCAATTTAAAATGTCAGGAAAACGAAAGAAGGTTGTGTTGACGATTTCGCAAAAACTAGAATTAATTTCCAAAGTAGCAAACGGCAATACAAGGCAGCAGATGGAAATGGATTACGGAATCGCGGAAACAACAGTGCGTGACATTCTAAAGCAAAAAGACAAACTGGTGAACTTTGCATCAATGTCGGACAGTGCTTCCGCAATGAAAACGCGAAAAACTATGAAGGGTTCTACCTTTGATGAGCTAGACACGGCATTGACAGAGTGGTTAGCTCAAGTTCGAAAAGAGGGTGGTACTCCTGTAAATGGTCCTATCATTGCGGCGAAGGCAAAAACTTTTCTTGAGTTGTCAGCCCTGAAAGGAAATTTTGATGCGTCTTCTGGCTGGTTGACTCGTTTTAAGCAACGACATGGAATTCGAGAAATTGGACTTCATGGGAGAAACTTAGTGGTGACCAACAAGCAGCCGACGATTTCCACCATGATTTTGAAGAATTTGTTTCAAAAGAAAAAAAATCTTTTGAACAAATTTACAATGCCGACGAATCGGGACTTTTGTGGAAATGTCTTCCCACTCGCACTTTAGCATTTGAAAATGAAAGTAAAGCGGCGGGTCATAAAAGCAGCAAGGAAAGGATCACTATCGTGTCTTGCAGTAACGCTACCGGTGGACATAAACTTAGACTTGTTGTCATTGGAAAGTAAAAAAAAAAAAAAAAAAAAAAAAAAATCGAGATCTTTCAAAGGCACAAGGATAGAAAATTTGCTCGTTGATTACTTTAACCAAAAAAAGAGGATGGATGAACCGAAACATTTTTCAAGAATGGTTCGAAAAAATCTTTGTTCTTCAAGTGCATAAACATCTTAAATCGAAAAACCTGCCTGAAAAAGCTGTGCTATTGACCGACAACGCACGTTCTCACCCAGCAACAAGCGTGCTAAAGTCTTCTGATGAATAAATTTTTGCAAAGTTTCTCCCCCCCCCAAACATTACTACGCTAATCCAACCCATGGATCACAAGGCGTCATTGCAACAATGAAGAGAACATACCGAACCAAGCTGCTAATGACCAAAATTGAAGAAGGTTATGATCTGAAAGAGTTTTGGAAACAGTACACAATCTTGGACAGCATCTACGATATTGCATCTGCATGGGACTCGGTGAAACCGTCAACCCTCATAAAATCATGGAGAAAACTCATGCCTAATGTTGAAGCCAACAACAACCTAACCTCTTTGAGTTGTGAA